CTCAGGGCCATTGAGCAGTGAGGGTTCTTTATCGTGCCAACGCCTACCGTGACACGGGACCTACGTTTTTAAGGTCATATCCGAAAGACCCGTGACTTTCACTTCTAGTGCCGAGCGCTTGGCGAATTGAAAATTGGGGTTATCATTTCTTTGTATGTTTAACCCCCCCCCTTCCTTTCAATAAGCCCCGCCTTTTTTAATTTGCTTCCGATGCCTATGTCTTATTCATTTTTTTTACATAAATCCATTGAATGAGCTAATGCATAAAGAGTTCTTTAAAAATATTTATTTATTTTGCTTTGAAGACGGCATGAACAGCTTTGAATATCCTGTGTTTTCCTTGCATAAATGCATTGAATTGTGAAAGTACTTTTTTGACAAGCAAAATATGTAAGCGGACGATTTGATGCTTTGCATCAATATTAATTGTTAATGCTTTGCATCAATATTAATTGTTAATGTACATGTATTTTAACATCTTGTGTCATTAGAAATAAAATAATTTTTATATTAAATAGATATAATTAAACTATAAAATGACAAAAGATAATGTGTCATTAGATAATGCATTATTTTCACAGGCATTTAATTAGAACATTTATCCCTGAAGGGTACGTTCACAAGCTTCTGAAGCGCTATTCTGCAGCTTGGATGGTTGTGAGAGGGGTCAAACATGAACCCTTAAATGAGAGAGAGAAGAAAGTTCTAAATATCATTCAAGATATAGCTTCTGCACTTTATTCCGTCTTCTGAAAATAGAAGATAAATCTGTAGTGAAACACGTGCAGCAGCTTCTCATGTGCTTAGCTTCCCCATCACATGTATGCTCTCTTATTAAACCAACATTAGAAGTTAATCAGGGGATATCCAGCATTTCCCACGGAGAAAATCTCAAACAAAATCCTGTGAAGTTGGATTTATTGCAAAGAAAAGTCCCAATTTTATTTGAAATATATGAGTGTGGTGTTGATATGAGACCTCAGACAGTTATTGGAACAATTGTTGGGTTTTACCATAGAACCATCTGTAGATGCTAAGGAGGATCATGATTATATGGAAAAGGTTGTAGAGGTCGAAGAAATGACCTTTTCACCTCAATTGTGAAATACTGGAAATTGCCCTTTTAAATAGGACAAAAAAAAGAAATCTGTGAGCCAATGCTCACTTATAATACACCCGCTCCGATGTAAATAAACACTATCATGTTAATATAAACAAATTCAAGTACAGGCAGATGCACTGAAAAATTTAAAGTTGGCATGCCTCAACAAAGAGTTACTAAAATTTCAAGCATCTGCTACAAATATTAGAAAACTGCGATGAATTTTTATGAATGAAACAGACGCACAGACAATCGGGAAGTTGACATCGGATGAAACAGATATCAACGTTCAAGAAAACGCACCTGAAAAACTGAAACCGGGAAAATCCATGAAAATAATTAATATTACGTGCCACCAAACGTATGGACCTGAACAAATGTCTGCATGGTACGTGTACAATAAAAACACTGAGTCTTGTGAGGACTATTCGATAAATTTAAACAAGAAACGTTCAAATGGGGAAAAGGATAAATTTCTGACAACTGCGGTGTTGGCTGAAATACCAATTCGACCCAAAAACTTATTACATAAAAACACCGGTGAACTGAAAAGTGTCGTTCTGAGAAATTGTTTTGTTTCCAAATCAGGTGAAGGGAAAACAGCAATATGTCCCTTTGGAGACCCAACCTATGCAAGATTCTGTCCTCTCGCGACACTTCTTCCAAAATTAGACTCCTCCTACAAAAATATGGTTTTCGTTTAAACAGAGAAACTTCAAACAATGTTATAGTCGTAGAGTACAGGCATCTAAGCAATTTTTTCTGGTATGACACCACAAAGAAATAAAAAAAATGAAAACAGAGTATGTTCAAACAGCCGCCATCATTATGAAGAAAATATACAATTTTCTTTAAAACGGCAAACCAACCGATGTTTAAAATAAACCATCCATCCTTACAAGGCAAACAAAAAAAGCACAAACTATACAAGCCATCCCGCATGTCACAATTATATATAGCACAGCTTTTGCAATGCAAATCATCATTTCTAAAGTTATTCGAACACACTGCCTCCACTATCAAAACTGTCCTTTGAGCAGTTGAATCCATTGCTTTCACTGAAAGCATCTGGAGCTTCTGTAATTTGAAACAAACGTGCGAAAGAGTCACCCCTTCTTGACTGTTTGTTACGTCTTCCAATGACAGCTGTAGGTAACACGGACTCTGAGTGGTCGTACTAATATATCTTCTTAACAGTGCCTGTATGGTGTTATTAAGACGTTCACTGGCCAGTGTCTTTTAAAGTTTGTTCCTTTCTGAGTCTCGTAATTTTATGCTGTACACTTAAATTTCTTTTTAGTGATAAATTTTGACGGTTGATTTCGCTCCATGTTGGTAGACAATTAACGTTATTTAACGCTTCGTAAAAAGTGAACCCTTCCGCGTCCTCAGAACAAACGCACAAAAGATTAAGACAAAATCTTGCAGATGTGCGTCTAAAATACCTTCTTGTAAAGAGGCTGGTTCAACAAGAACATAGATACAAATTATCAGGTATAAAGTACATATTATGGATGGACTGGGCATTCTTCTCTTTTCTCGCATATCATTTTAAAATTATAAAAGTAACTTAAGCAGCAACGCGAAATACTTCGGGACCGCCATTCTAATATTTACACTGTAGTTGTCTCCTCTTTGACGGATGACTCATTGCGTATATTGCGGGGAAAACTGCCAGAGAGCTGGGAAAAATCTCAAGATTATTGTTCTATATACCGTATAAGTGGAAATTTTAGCGAGACGCAAATTTAGCGATTTATTCTTAAAAAATGGTAACTTATTTTGAGCGAGAGGTAATTTTAGCGATTTCAAAATGCTTGCTAGAGAAGCTATTACAAATAAAATGTGATTAAATTTTAGCGATATTCAATTTTAGCGATCGAAGGACCCTCGCTAAAAATGCCAAAATTAAATCCTCGCTAAAATTTCTACTAATACGGTACTATACAAAAAGGACAACTCAATTTTATTCTACATACAAGTTTCAGTAAAATAAATGTCGATGAATTAAGAAGCAAAGTTGAAAAATGTAAATTTCAGTTAAAGATGCGTACACAGCTTGTGCTGAAATTAATCTATTAAATAAAGGAGACAATGTGATCTCAAGCCAAGTTAAGAATGTACGGGTTGCTTCCACTTGTGAAAAACAAATGAAAAGGAGATGGAGGAAGTGAATCCCGTTCTGATGGAGGCGCTTGACAGAGAATTAAATAAACACTTGGTAATTACACATATTTTCATTGTATTAACTTCGATCAGTTATCTTCCGGTATATAATTCGTGAATAAGCCCTCAATTGTTTTCGTTTCTCAAACTTAAGATAAAATACACTTTATCTTATTTAGACAAACATAAATAAATAATTTCTGTTTTACCAAATATAATGCCATGTTTTTTTCCGTCAAGTCCATGACGGAAAACCGTCCAGTTGAAATGGACGGAATTCCCGTCCTGTCGTTCATTTTATTATATATAGAAAGATCTGCAAGGCCAAGTCGTCAGAATTTCGGAAAAATTCTTAATATAAAGTACGACCGCACTTGCTCGGAGTTTTACAAAGTCCATTCCGGTCACGTGGTAGCGTCAAAATGGATAAAAAACAAGAACACGACAGAGAGATAGTGGGTAAGTTTAATGATGTTTTATGTAGTTTTTATCATTCAAAACGTTGTAAATTTAGACAAACCAGAATCTTGAATTAATTAGAATTTAAGATATCTTACTTAAATGGTTTAAAGTAAACAAGAAAATACTTGATCGGACACCGATCGGATGGTGATTTATTTAGGTCAGACCATTTTTCTTTAACATTTGGACGGTTATCCCGTCTAATGAATTATCTGAATCAGTTGGACGAGAAATCTATCCAATAAAGCTTAACTAATTTAAGGACGGAAAAACCATCCTGAGTTTGTATATTAGATCAAGCAACTGTGAAACAATCGTAGACCATGTAGACATAGGTGAAAGTCAGCACTAATTTCAATATATTTAGGCTTATGCATTTATTTATCATTTACATGCTTTATATCGATACAATATCTTGATAAAGCTTCAACTATGCCCTTCATCATCACATTGGTCCATGGTTCCACCTCTTGCATGTCTTTGCAATGTGCATTATGCATGTTATAATCAGGTCAGCATGCTTAGGAATAACCATAAAACATGTATAAATAAAAAATCATTATGGATTGTTAATTATATACATGATTACATGTAAACAGATTGACTGTTTATATGGTTGAACCAAGTGCAGATTTAACAAAAACTCACTTCAGCATGTGTTCATCGCAACAATTACATATGCATTAACTTATTACCATATAGTTTAATCATTTAATTCGTCCAACAAGTCATATATTTTACTATTAGTCATGTTACATATGTCGTTATAGATTTCATTGCTTAAGCCATGTGAATAAAAACCATGGTAGCATGCTCACTCTAAGTTATCAATGTCAGGTAGTACCCTGAAACAAAAACCAGATTTTGTCAAAAAGATTCAAATAAACAAACAAAAAACAAATCAGTTACATATACATAATACATATGTTAGTTTTCAAAAAGATGTAAAATTCAGATGTACTTATGTTTAATGGGGAAAAAAGTAATATTGCATGATGCATGGAAGTTCATGTAGATCTCTGAATGTGATTATTACTTGGTATACATGCTGTCAATGTGTAAATTTTCATATTTTTCAATTCTAAAAAATCTTTATTAGCTGAAATGTTTAACAAAATAAAATGGCAATTTAAGACATTTTCAGTGGTTGTTTTGTTTTACACTCTCAACATAATGAAAAAATCACAAGTGACAATTATGCAACTATTAGCATGATTATATTAGAGACTAATATACACCAGTTTTATTTAAAAATGTTTCCATTTCACTTACCCTTCTTGCAGAGCATGTTAACAACTTACAGAAATTATGCAGACTATGTGGAAATTCAACAAAAAATAATGAACGGACTAGTAAAACAAACTTCTCCATGGAACTTCTGCAGCTATATGACATAGACGTTTTTAAAGATATTCCATCTGTTCATCCCGAATTCGTAAGTATCATAAGTAAGTTTCGTCAGCATCTTTCATCATTGATGATTTAAACAAAATGGCTGACACACTGTGGATGAGCATGTTGCTCAACTCCTCTTATGGCGTTAGTCAAAGGGGAGAACATATGCGTGACAGAGAAAGGTTTACAGTGTCGAAGTCCTTCGATCAGCTCTAGGTATTAAGGGGTTCGAAATGATCGCACTCAACCCACAAAGCATTTATGGACTAACATCAACCGATGTTGGACTGCTTGTTGGAAACGCTTTGCGAAATTCTTAAGGGAACATTAGAATGGTTATTAAACCTTCTGACCAACAACACTGGATATCAATCAAGGAAATAACTGGTGGGTTTTTGTTGATGGACTCTAAGAAATCGCAGCCAAAATACTTGAACACGGACGAAATGGGACTGATTGTTCGTGAAAACTGCGAAACACCAGGGGCAGTCCATTTTGTTTTTAAAACATCTAAGGAAATTGTTGTGGATAAGGTACATTTTCAACTTATTATCTTAAAATGACTTTGAAATAGGGTTACAATAAGGTATTAACAAAATACTAAGGATTTTTTTATATAAATATATTTAATATACAAAGGATATTTTGCAATCTAAAGAATTTTATAAAATGAAACAAACGTGTAAATTAAAATTTGTTTAGGATTATTATACAAGAATAACTGCAAGGTATTCAAAACATTTTTGTCAGACAAGGATGGAAGAGGACACGTTGAAAGGAACGATGGGTACAAATCTAGAAAAAGAAGTGACAGACACGGTAAAAACGTTGAAAAAAATATAAAGTTTACATTCAAAATTTTATATCATGAAACAAACATGTGAAACTAAAATGTATTTGGGTTTGTTATACAAGTATATCGACCAAGTTTTTTTTAACTTTAAAATTTTTTGTTCAAAGATGGAAGAAGGCGTGTGGAAAGGAACGATGGGTACAGATCAAAAAAAAAAAGAAATGACAGATACGGTAAAAACATAAAAAATGAAGTTTACATTTAGCCTTTTATAAAATGAGACAAACTTGTGAAATTAAAATATATTCGGGTTTTTATACAAGTATATATTACATAATTCTGATAACGCTCAATCTCGGTTTGGATAGCATTGCAAACATTGGCCTTGGTTTCACCTGTGCACACAACATCATCAAACCAATCCCCCATATCAATGAATTTTGGCTTCTTAGCTGGTGGTTCAGGTACACAAGATTCTGAAGATGTCATAGGGGGGACCTCAGGCTGAATTTCCTTTGACTCGCTTGCTGACGGGAGGGATGGCAAAGGAGGCACATCATTTTCCTTTTTCTTTCTTCACCCGGACCTCAGGAAGATCACCGCCCTTTTCTTCTATCATTTCATTCAGTTTCTTAAATTCCACATCTCGCATTTCATTCTAGAAGGTAAGGTCCTTCGTGTATGGGTTCAGAATGCAGGCTACAAGGGCTATCCTTTCTGGCTCTGTTCTGTTTCCCATTTCATTTTGGATTTGCTGTGTCACTCTTTTAATTGTTGGGCTGTCATAATCTCCTTCTTCACTTAATCGAGTTAGCTTTACTACAAGTGGTAGGATCTTCTGCAGAGTTGGAATGTTCTCACCACACACAATTGTAGTCGTTTTGTCAAACGGATCAAGTACGGTCACAAGATCTTCGACAACAGCCTGTTTATCAAATGTTAGAAGACAGTTTCTCAGGGTAGAGCTGGCTGATTTCGTTATTGTTGGATCGTTAGCCACTGCACTTACAGCTGGGATCTGCTCTAAAATTCGTTTTAGCATGTGTAGGGTTGAATTCCAACGTGTTACCACATCCATGATTAGTTTGTGCCCAATGATACTTCCTTCTTCCATCAGAAGCTTTTGCTTGTCAAAGAGAAGATCGGCCATGCTGGTGGATTGGTGAAAGAACGTCACCAGCTTCTGGATCTTTCCCAAAATTCGCACAACATCGGGAATTTTTAGGGCATTCTTAACTACTAGGTTGATGCGGTGCCCATAGCAACCAAATCTTGTCCATTCCAGCAATTCATAAGCTTTCTGTTCATTGGCAGCATTGTCAGTTACAGCTATGGACATTGGCAATCCCTACCTTTGTTTTATTCCCATGAGTTCCTTTGAAATGTTTTCACCCGTATGACTTAATTGTTCCTAAAACAGCATGGTCCAAGAGTCGTGGGTAATTGCAACATCATCAGTCCGTTTCAGATCTTTCTCTATCTTCAACTGTATTTCTTCTTTTTTGACTTTCAGACCTTTTAGGATTGCAGCTCTGGTTGGAACCTTGTACCTGTAATATTGATTAAATGAAATTAATATAAATTATAGCCTATAAACGATACATGTAGTCATGTACATTGTACACCAAATATGTTAACACAACATTGATAAGACATGGCAACTATTTCAGCTGTACAATGACCAAGTAAATATTTCAGCTAAAAACTAACAAGAGGTACAACCAATATTTCAACTCGTGAAAAAAATACGTAGTAGCAAATACAAAAACCCTCAGCTATATAGTGATAAAGTATTAGCTAAATACTAAATTCCATTGATGCAACTAATGTATTAGCTAAATTGTCACTAATTCAAGCTTCTTTTTCTCGTCCTCTGGTCCGTTATAAAAAAAATAAGAGAAATATTACTATATACCTGGCATCAAGTAGATGGACAAATTCCCTAAAGAAATTATTCTCCACTAAAATAACAGGCAGAACTTTGCCAACAATGAGTTTATACAGAGCATTGTCTATCTTGTGTTGCTGTTGTTATGACATTTTCCCCAATTTTGATGGACCGCTAGGACCAGCATTTACAAAGTATGTCAGCGAAGTCTTTTTCGTTGCTTTAGCACTAGCTGCGTCACTCGAACCGGACGACTCTAATTCATCTCCATGTTCCGTTTTAATATGAGTCATGAAGTTGGACGTGTTCCCTGAATAGAAAGACCAAGGTCATAATATTGTTGAACTTGGAAGGCAGTAAAATTTGAGCTTCCAAGTAAAGATTTTCAGCGTTTCCTTTTAATTTAAATGTAAAAAAATGCCAACAAAAAAAAAACCTTAAAGATCTATGTACGATTTATAACAATATTGATTGCGTTATTTGACGAGAACTTACATGTAATACATGTATTGTACGACGTACTATATTGCTTGTTTACGAGCAATAATAAGTTTGTCCTGTCTTCAATTATGTAAAATGCAACGGCGTGTTGTGCAAATATGCGTTAGTGCCACGGCGTGTTGTGTGTAAGCGCGATGTCTCGTTTATCTGAACGCGATGTCGCGTTAACGCAAATGACCCTATCCGAAAACCATAAATGTTGAAGTTTGAGTGCCAATGATGGCTTGCTGTACAAAGGACACCGTCTATCACTTTTTTCCTCATTCTCACCTTTACGTAGAATTTTTACCCACTTGACTATATCGTCATAAGTCTCCTTGGTGTCTTTGATCTTGTGCGAGAGGAAACTGCACCATCAGGACTTATTAAGGGCTTAGATCTCGCAGTGCTCTGACTGATTGTGCTGGGGGTTGTGGCCAAGGAGTATGTGCCATCAAGTTGATTCCTAAACCAGCTGTCTGTTGGTTAAATGTTGGATTCAAGTGTGCAACTGGTAGTGTAGAACATGATACAGGTGTTGAAGTGGTGCTGGGAGTATAGAGGGGTATTACATACTAACAGATATGACGTCATAGGCTAGTTTGACACGCAGTTTCTCTGTACTTGAGACGCAGATAAAGCTTTTAGCTGAACTGAAAATATGAAAATTAAATCTAAGTAAGCATGATCTGATCATAATTGATTAATATTTTTGAATGCATTTATCAATAGTTCACAGTCTTATTTAATTGATAACTATTAGGTCTCATAAAGCCGCGGTCATGCACTTTTAAACAGAAACATACTACAAACACATGTACAACCCCTCCAAAATCTCAAAAGTTCAACGATATACGCTTGATTATAGATAATGATATTTTATACACATGTAGCTATTGTCCCCATTATTTTGAAAAGTGCTGGGAGCAAGTTGTGCGCTGTTGAGTTTTTCCGTAGTTTTACATTTCTTCAATGCGTATAATGTAAATGCACATAGTTTATCAAAAGCCGGCTAAATTTTATGTATTTCTTGGGCATGGAGAAGTTGCTCCCAGCACTTTTTGGGTTAAGAAATTTGTCTTAAAGAAAACACGATCAATTTCATGCTGAAAAATTATCCGTATATCGTTGAACTTTTACGATCTTTATATCCGTACATTTTTTTCCCCTTATTTTAAACATGTCACGTGACAAACAGCTGATGTACGTGAAGTCGCGTTGGCCGGACTCGGTTGAGACCCCATACATACATATGCATTAGTATAGTTTCCATTAAATTTAAAATCATGCTAATAAAAAATATTAAAATTATATTGATTTTTGGGGAATATTTTAAGGCTTATTTCCTATGGGCGGCCTTAACCTAGCTGCGAAAATATCTTGTCACAGGTAATGCACATATACAATATGAAAACCCTATCTCTTCTCAATCAAAAGTTATAAGGAAAATTAACAACTTTGAAAAGAAGATTAAACTTCAAGGTTAAGGTCATAACGTCAAAAATCATAGTGTATTTAGAAAGGTCTTGTCACAAGTAAAAACGTAAAAAATTTATCCATTCAGTTTTGTTTTTAAAAGCTATTCAAATTACAATCATAGAAAATGTGAATAAAGAAATGGTATATTGTTGAACATTGTTCCATGAAGAGTAATTTTGATTTTAATATGTAACAGTTAATAAAATATTGCATGCAAACGTTGTTCATACAACAGCCAAAATCTGCATCTTGCGTGATTATGAGTGTACATGTATCCAGGAACTTAAAAATGATTGTTGGCATAGGGATACAAGCAGTTTCATTAAAGTTGATAACTGTTTATATGATCTTCGAGTAAGGTATATGGATTTAATTATAGTAAGGTTTAACAGAAAATGTGTGCAAAAGACCTAATTTAAACTTAAAGATGATCAAAATCATGAAAAATGTTGAAAGAACAACTTTGATCATGTCTTCAATTCATTTACCTTCTGAATAATCCTCTTGACTGACACCCTTTCACCCTTGACTTTTGTTTTGATGGTCTCGATGTCTTCTGGATCCGGTTTAAGGAATTGATTCATAATATGTTCTGTCATCAAATGTATCCATTATCTATTTGAAAGTTTGCAAAATGAAAATGTACTTATGCATTATTCTAATCCCAATACTTGTATATAAAAATATACATGTAAACTGTATTACTCAATTGATTTATAATCGCCAAGGTGAATATGGGGCAGATCGAGGAATCATTACCTCCATCACCAGCAGAGAGCGGTTTCCGGACATTTCAATTCCTTGGTTGGAAGAAAAGGGGAGGGATCTATCAATCAAACTGGCTGTACCTATCAGCAGGCAGCCATCAGTAGACACCCCTTGCATTGACCTAATAAAGGTAACCTAATAAACCAAAGCTTTATCCGGTCACTGCCCTAATAAAGCCTCGTGCATGTCTTCCGACGTTCTAAAAGCATTGTGACGTCACGTTTACTGCAATGTTTACGCATGGCGTCATAGTTTCAACTGCAGAGACGTGCCTAAATCTGTCGAAAACAGCTAGTTTTGGACGTTCAAATGGTAAAAATATGTTGCAGGATAAACAAAATACATGATAACTGTCTTGAAATATAAGCGATATTTGGGCTCGGGTCGAAAACGTAAGAGGGCTCGGCAAGCCTCGCCCTCTATCACGTTTTCTTACCCTCGCCCAAATATCGCTTATATTTCAAGACAGTAACCATGTATTCTATATATATTCCACCTGCATGATATTAGAAAGGCGTTTTTAATTCATGACATGATTGATTTATATATCATTTCTATATATGCTATTTCTAGTACATGGATAAGGGAGCTTGTAAACATTGCGTGGCATTTATATTTTCCTTGTCTAGTCTCTGTGAAGGACACCAAGGCCGAAGTGCAGAAGTATGTACTGATGTTCCTTGCATGTAGAACAAGCCAATGGAGAAACCTATGCCCAGTAAAAGCACATGTATCAACACTAGAATTGACCAGACAAACCCATCCCAAGTTGTCCCCACACCAGACAACTATGACCCTAGAATTCCTTCTCATGGGATAGGTCTAAGCAATGAGAAAGCTACGCATTTTTGTATCGACTAAGGTATCTCTCGACCGCCCTATCACAGAACGGGCGCTCTACCGACTGAGGTAGGTGTCATTTGAAAGAGCTGAATTAGAGATGTATGCGTATTAATTATGAAATACCTATCTCTCATGGTTCAAAAGTTATGGCGAAGGTTAAAGATGACAACAGGCAGACAAGCAAACATACAGTACAAAACAATATAAGCCCCGGATCTTTGCTAAACACGAATGGAAGTAATGATGTAGTAGTTCTAAACCCTAAAGTCTTCCAAGAAGGAGAGAAAGGATGAAGCAAGCCTAAGGTAATGCAAGCATTAAAAAAGGATAAAGTACCCAATACTTCTTGCTTCGCCTCTTCTTGATTTTTTTTTATCTTAAGAGATGCATGAACTTTCCAGCCTTAAATTCCTATTTCAGCATACGTCAAACGATATATGTCTGTCATCTTTGGCCGCCCTTGCATCAGTATTTTTCTGCTAATTTCATTCAACTACTGTATTTTTCCATCATTTGTCGAGTTGTTGAAGTGGCTAGGCAAGGGCATTTCTGAAATCACATCAATATTCAATTCTTCAAAAAACATTAAAAGACAAAATGCATCCAGAATGGTGTAGTACAACATCTTTTGAGGACGATATGCATTCTTTACTTTCCCTTTCACGTCTCTAGCATTAATTAAATTTCGGTAGTGGTAAATTGTCCCTTTGTCTTGAGCACTTTCAGATGAAAATGTCAATTTTTATATTGCCTGAAAAATATCCACAAATTTGTTTACTAGAGATGCAACAAAGTCATATGAGACAGTGATAAATTATTACTTTGATCTCTTTTTAAACAATATTAAAATTATTTTCACTATCCTTAGATAAACACATATT